ATAGATACCATCGTTGGGGTTAATGCGACATTTTTTTTAGTTTAGATATTTCTTTGTTTTGTATTTTTGACGTTAACATTTTAGTTGTTTTTTTAACTAAGAAAGTTGTCCTACAACAACAATTAAAAATTGAGTGAAGTGTGTTCTACTGCTTTGGAAATATGACTACATTTAGCATGCGTGAATGTATTCTTAACTAACCTAATTTGGTTGTTAAATGTAGTGACTTTCTACGGTAGTTAAATTTAGTGACTTGTCAGTAAGGTGGCTGTGATAAGAGCCGCCCAATTTTTCATGCACTTGCCACAGTTAAACAATCTACGTCTGATAATTCATCAAACCCAATAATTGCAATAATGTCCTTAAGTTATTTGTACGCTATAAGGTTTTCTTAACTCTTTGCGCAGTTTCATAACGGTCCTTGTCAACGACCTAAGACTATAACATAGTTGAGGTTGAATCTAAAAGATCAATTGTAGAATAAACACCCTTGGAAGCTAAAACGAATAGCTATGATTTCCAGAAAAAAAAAATATGGCATTCGTTTGATGAGAAAAAAAAAAGGAATATCAAGAGTTTATGTGGCTGAAGCGAATGAAAACGAGACAAGGCCTGTGTGAAAGGGAGAAGCAAACCTCACAAAAAAAAAAAGAAAAAAGAAGAAGAAGTACAAGCTCAGCAAGCGCTATATCATCTTGATCAGATGATTGTGACGACCCATGTGTGTCACAAGCTAGTCATCATGGCGTTGTTTCTTATTGTGGGGGGTGAGGCTCGAACTCTCGAGTTCAGGATGTCTCAACGGCTGTGTGCACCGTCCAACTGAGCCAACACCCGTTTGGTGTTCAATTACAGAAACAACGGTATTTATAAGGTAGTCTACTGGTCAGGGTGGAGCATCGAGAACACAAGCAGCAGCGCGGTCTGGTATTTATAGGCCGCATTCCTGAGCTAGTTTAGATTATGCTGAATTTGTTTGCGTGCTTCCCTGGAAGTACCAAAGTTTATAGTCTTTTGACACGGTGGGCTCCTTGGCTTGGGCTGTAACAGTACGTCATCGCCTGGCTGGAAACTATTGGACCGGAGAGGCAAGTGAGGCCTGGTTCTAAATGGGCTCATATTGATGCAAAGCCCCCCCCCCCCCCCCCCCAAAAATGTATGTAGGTACTGCAAAGCCTGTGAGCTTCCACCATTTTATGGGCTCAAAGATATTTGGGCCGAAGGGTGGCCCGGCTCCTCGTCGATGCCGATGAGCACGCGCGGCGCGTCCGCCGCCGGTTCGTTACGCTGCGTCCGTCTAACTCCACTCCTCTCATTTCCCTCCCCTCGCCGGCGCGCGGAGGCAGCCGAGGGCTCGACACCGCTGCCACGAATCCTACTGCTCCATTCACACCTCAAGGTTCCTGATCTCCTCGTCTTTTTTCCCCCAAGCACCAAGTTTTGAAGTGACATGGATTCCTTCCCTTCTTCACCGATCACTTCGCCGTGCTTTGCAGAGACAAAGAATGGGTTCTTTACGGAGAGAAATGCAAGAGTTTTCGAGTCGAAGGAGAAACCTGTTTGGCGGATCATCGCTGAGATCAAGGATGAAGCTTCCATGTGGATTGCGGCGGGTGCAAAGCGATTGGCTGCACTGGTTGTTCGGAATATTAGTGAGTAGTTAGCTTGGTTATCTCGCTCGGTCTAGCCCATGTTCCTAGACTGGCGTAAGTTGTAGTGCGCCACTGGTGCACGAACGTCTGTTTCTCCTTATAATATAACGCCGGCAATGGCCCCGGATCTTTCGAAAAAAAAACAAAGAATGGGTTCTTTACTGATATTGGTTTGATTATCACATCGTGCTGCTACTTCAATTTATTTTGTCCAATTGGAGTGTGCTTCAAGGTTAAGGTAATATCATTCACTCGTTCCCCAATCATGATTCATCAGTACATCTAGCTAATCTGATCCTTTTGACTCTGCAATGGCAGCATACATGGATTATGATCCATCAGGTATATATTATAGATGAGGACCTGCCTGGACTGCAAGTGCCATTTCAATGTACACAGCTATCTCGTTCCCAATTCTCTAGTGATTTAATCTAGCAGTGAACCTGCCGTGGCTAATGTACCATAGTTCATGTTCTGAAATCTCGGTGTGGACTCGATTTTGCAATTGGATTTCGATGTTCCTCATGCAGGCGAGTGCTTTCCTTACTGCTGTTTGCTATGCAAAATTAGTACTGATTCTGCTTTCCCCGTATTTGGGTTTAGGGTCATTTTTGTTCATTTTGTTCCTGCTCATCTAACATTTCATATTATTCACTTCAATAGTTTATTACATGCCAGTCCTGGCTTGGGTATATAATTCTCTTGCTAGATGGTCTAGACATCGACTAACTTACTCAGTTCCTTCATTTTTTTTTTGTTTCATAAGCATATCAGTGTGCTATATGTTGCATATAATTTAACTTTTACCCTATTGTTTTGGTACACATAAACATGTTTTCTGATCATCTTGCTATTAGTTTCGTGCTATTGGTTAGATTCTTCACAGAAGTTGGAACTGGTCCAGTTAGGGCCCATGCTGTGAGCTGGGGAAAACCCCATTCTCATCAATTAGTGTTATTAGAGAAATAAAGATCAACATGACATCAGTTTTGTCTGCCTTTTGGGTCATGACATACTGTTCGGCTATCTGTCCACGCTGCAAAAAGCCAATTGACTTCATTTTTGTCAGTTTTTTTGGATCATAGCATGCTGCAATAGTTCTTTCCTTTGACACCGTCCAAGTGCAAGTGCACCTGTACTTTTATGTCATTCCTGCTTCTCTTTTGCTCTTATATAACTACTACAACGTAGCAGGTCCCTTAATTTCAGGAATGAATCACTATGAGATGATGCAACCCGTCCCACCAATTGTTGCATTTGATGCATACAGTATATATCACTTTTGCTCTGTGCAATACTTCCCGAATGTTCTTGTACAAAGTTGCTTCTCATAAAGCGTTTTCAAATATTCTTGATCATATCAGCGAGTGTTATATACCTTCCCAGCTGCTACTATATTCTTTTTAGGTGTATTGCCAAGCACGGTGAATGCTTTTGTTCTTACCTATCCTCAATCATGAGTTCTTAGGTGTATTTTACTGCTGATGCAATTCTTTTCTAAGTTCAATGAAAGGACGCTGGCCTCTGTTTTGGAAGTGTTGTGCCTCGGTTTCATTGTTCTTTGACCATTGAACCAACCTTTATTAGAGAAATTATTAGAGAAACTTACATAGGGTCTATATTGGAATCAAGTATGATTGATGTTCTCAAATGTTCAAAGCTATATGGAAGAACAACAGGACATTTGATTCCGCAGAACATCAGTGCAACAAAGTTTGAGAACCTACTAGCCATTCTATTTGTGTTGTTTAAAATTGTACAATCCATTTAATCTCATTCCTAATTTGTGCCTTCGCCAAATAATGTACTTGTAGAGGCATAAACGTGGAGTGAAAAGCAAAGCTAATCTTTCTTGGGAGCTATTAACAATGCTCTAGTTTGAGGAGAAGATTGGAGCTGATGCTAAACAAGCAACGAATATACCGCATGATTAAATGTGCATCAGTGTGAAATGCGGGCACCAACCTCACAAATAAATGTCAAGTGCATATGATAAAAAGTGATGAGGTCACAAAGAAGAGAAAGATGGTTACAGCTATACTATATGGATTCTTTTGGTTTAATTGCTGCTTAGAGCGGAAAGAGATCACCGAAGCCTTTCTCTATCTGTTCCGTCGATAGATACAATTTTCACATGCTCGTTTCTTCACTCTCTGTTGATCGACAGGGCACCGTTACGATCAGTCATGATGAGGGCTGCCCTTTCTCGCGTTCTCGCCGGGGCAGCGGCGCTCTCCGTGCTCTACCAGTCCGGCGGCCGGATGGACGAGTTCTCAATGATGGCGGCGATCTTCTCCTCGGCGGGCCTGCTGGTTCACTACGCCGCCGACGCTTTCTGCGAGGCGGCGGACGCTCGCTGCCGACGAGCGAGGGGCCGGGCTGTCCTTCTGGCCTTCGTTCTCGGCGCTCTGGTGTGCTATGAATTCTACCATAACTCGGGAATCGCAGAAGCGGCTATTGCATTCGCCCTGTACACGGCGGTGTGTGTGCTTATCATGCTCGTAATGCTGTTGCGGCCTCGACGCTCTCATCATGACACCATCAGTGATATCGCTTAATTAGGTGTTTCATTTTCATTAAATAATATATGTCATATCATCAAATTTAGAGATGTGCCGACAAATTAATTAGGAGAAATGTGATGGGTGCATTGTTTTTAACACGGGTTGTCTTCTACATGTATTGCTTAGAAAACATAGAAAAAATAAAACAATGCATTGGATTGGATGAGATACTTTGACCATCAAATAAAGGTTTTGTTTCTTATGTGGCAAACTTGAGGACTAGCCATAGATACCATTAATAGGGTTAATGTGGTATTTTTTTATTTTGGATATTTCTTCGATCGGATTTGTATTGTTGACGTTGTGACATTTTAGTTTATTTTTGAGCTAAGAAAGTTGTCGTGCAGCATCAATCTGAATAAAGCATGTTCTACTATTTGGAAATATTACTATTATCGTCTGATTACCATCATGGTTTAACACACGTGAATGTATTCATAACTAACCTAATTCGGTAGTTAAATGTAGTGACTTGTTAAAAAGGTGGTTGTGATAAGAACCACTTAATTTTTCGTGCTCTTGCTACAGTAAAACGATCCTACTATGATAATTCATCCGACCCAAGAATTGCGACTGCGAGATAAATACCTTTAGAAGCTATAATGAATAGCGGATTCACGTGGCTGAAGCGAATGAAAGAGACAAGGCGGGAGAACGCAACCCTAAAACAAATTAAAAAAAAAAAGAGAGAGTACAAGCTCAGCTAGCGCTATATCATCTTATATCAGATGATTGTGACGACCCATGTGTGTCACAAGCAAATCATCATGGCTTTGTTCCTTATTGGGGTGGGAGAGGATCGAACTCTCGAGTTCAGGATGTCTCAACGGCAATGAGCCTACGCAATATCCAACTGAGCCACCACCGATTTGGTGTTGGATTATAGAAACAACGGTATTTATAGAGTAGGTGAGTGGACAGGGTAGAGCATCGAGAGCACAAGCAGCAGCGCGTTCTGGCCGCATTCCTGAGCTAGTTTAGATTATGCTGAATTTGTTGACGTGCTTCCCCTAAAAGTACTTAGGTGAATTCTCTGCACATTGCTGCGGGATTTTGAGTGCAATTTTATATATCACTTGATAATGCAAAAAATAGTGGTGCCAATGCTTTTTTTTTTACACACACAAAGGTATATTATTTAATTTGAATATAGGATAAATACATGTATATCTATAGAGTGGTATTTGTTGGCAAAATAAAATACAGTTATAAGTAAATGAAGATTTTTTTTGTGTGCGTGGAATCCTATTCTACTGTGAAAATTGTGTGGTGGAATGGTCCTCCCTTCGACATAGTGATCGTCTGATTGTAAGATGGCAGTTGCTTGATTATGTCTTCACCTTGATATTTTCTTGTCATAGTTAGACAAACTTTTGGTTTTGTAGCATCCTTGAGGTTATTCATCACGTCCAGGTATGTGCTTTATATATATCTTCTTGGGAAAACTGATGAAGAGCAATGAAGAGGATCATATGATGCTTTTGGTGCCGGCCTGGTGAAAAGTAGTATTTTTGTTGTTAGTAGAAAACAAAGTATGTAACAAAAAACATGAATGCTTCGCTGGCACAAAAAAAAGTAACAAAACATGAACAAAACAAAGATGATCTCATCATAGGAAAGGTAAATCACTAAAAGGATTTAAGTGCAGGTAAAAAGAAAGTGGAACATGGTAGTCTCCGGGGATATATAACCTGTGTGAGGAATTTTTGCACTCCATACATTTTGCGATGAGAATATGTGATGGAGGTAGCTAGATAAGTACATGATTGATGAGGTAGAAAGGAATATGAGCAGCATATATAGTTGTGCCTGTGAGGTAGAATGTTGAAATGAAAGGAGCGATTTAATGTGTAGTAACTGCTAGGCGTGATAACTATTTTATTAACGTCCCAAAAAAAAAGATAACTAAGGGGTATGAGGCAATAGTGGAGGGCGCTTTCATATTTTTGGATTGTGAAGTCCCTGCTGGTGGGCCTATTGATTGCACAACTTATCTCTGTGCTTGGCTAGTGGGCTGGTGGGTTTAAATGGAATAAAAACTGATGTTGTACTTAAGTAACAGAAACTGCCGAATTGATGTTGTGTTGCCGAATGCTGGCATTCATCAAATACTCAAGTGAATGATTAATACGTATGACTGTTGAGTGGTGAGGAAATAGATGGCTAGATGCAAAATGCTGAAGGATATCCAACGGCTTAAATTTTCTAAGTGACGTGGCTTCACCAGAATTGAACTTTAGAATCATTAGTGATAGATAGTGGGTCTGTCTTATATAGATATTATAGATAGATACCAAGGTTTATAGTTAGTTAAGGATGCCGCACGTCGTAGCGTCTTCATTGCAGTGCTAATAGTCTTTTGGCATTGTCTCTTCTCTAGTCTCCAATCGCCGAGCTAATAATCCAACAGCTCCACCAATGCCCGACGCCAAAAGACTGGAAACCAGCAAGGCGGCGGCTCCTCTAAAAAATGATTGGCCGGCCCCCTCGTCTCCGGTGGCATCACCGTCAGGGGGGAGGCCCGGCATCCGGTGTTCTCGGCTTGTTCGTTCCTAGGTCTAAGTAGTTAGCTCTTCCCGCAGTGATCGCTTCAGGCGGCGGCTACTGCGGTTGTTAGGGTTAGGGTTTTTCTAGTGATCTGATCAGCGCAAGTGGCGGCGGCGCTGTGTTGCCAAATTTGTAGGCATAGATCAATGGAGGACGAGGTGTCACAGCAGTGGTGGTGAGTCAAATGCGTCATCATCAATGGAGAATAAGGTACTCCGGTCCTTCTTTTGTCTCGTCATGGTTCTTCGTGGCCATGGCTGTGGGCTAGTGAGAGTTTGGTTTCTGATGACATTCATTTGGATGTTGGTCGGATTTGTGTTTTCCCATTGCGAATATGGTTAAGGAGGCGACGATAGGCTCGGCTACGGGCGACGGCGGTGAGTTCGTCGTATGTGCATGTGGAATATCAGTCTTGTAACACCCCTCCTTTTGGAGCAAAAAGAAAAAGAAGAAAAGAAAAATAAAAAGAAATAAAAATCACTCCAAATTAAAAATTTTGTCCAACCTCTCACCTTGAAATGAATTTTCAAAATAAAATTCACTAAATAAATTAAACTTAGTTTGAATCTGAAAATTTTGAAATATAAAACTTGTGCTCAAGTGCTTGCTTCATTTAAAAATATACTAAAAATTTGAAGCTTTTGAGTTTCCAACAAATAAAATCAAAGTAGAATTTATTTCCAAGTTGATTTTCAAAATTTTGAATTTAAATCTGCATCAAAGTCTCATCATGTGCATTTCTGTATTTTATTTGATTTGTTTTGAGTGTTTGTTCAAACTTTGTTTTGTTTGAATTTGAAATTCCTTCAAATTTAAATTCCAGAAAAAGATGAAACATTTTCCTCTTCCCTTTTTCCTTTCGGGCCGAAATCCTATCTCGGCCCAGTTCGCGCCTTTCTTCTTTCTTCCGCGCCAGCCCGCCTTCGGCCCAGCACCGCGCAGCCCAGCTCGGCCCAGCCTGCTTCTCCCTCTCCTCTCTCGCTGACAGGTGGGGCCCACCTGTCATCGGCTTCCCCCGTCGCGTCCCGTCGGCGGCGTCAGCCACAGTCGCCGCCCATCCCCGGCTGCCGGGCGACGCCGTGGCCGCTACTCCACCGCCTCACTGTTGCGAACCGCCTTCACCGCCTTTAAAAGGGCACCGAGCCCTCCTTCCTCTCCTCTCTCCGGCGCCGCGAGTCCCTCCTCTCCCTCACTCTCTCACCTCGGTCCGGCGAGCCCTCCGACGACCTTGCTCGCCACCGAGCCGGCTCTTCCCCCTCTCCTTTCCTCCTCTCTGAGCATCCCCGCTCCGTGCGCCGCCCCGACATCGCCTCGGTTCACTCAGCCGCGCCGCACACGAGGAGATCGACGGCGCCCCGGGCCGCCGCCGCCTCGCCATCGACGCCGGCTATTGTCCGTCGCTCCCCTCCTCGTCTCAACCCATGGAGAACTTCCTCACACTCTCCTCTTCCTCCTGTGCCCCTCCTTTCTCCCTCTCTTGACCCGCTCGAGAATACTCCGTCGCACCCCGCCGCCGTGAGCAACTCCGGCGAGCCTTTGCCGCTGCTCCCCTGCGTCCCGTCGTCGACACGTGCCACTCACGGATCCGCCTTCGTGCGCTCGTCCTCCGCGACGACCTCCCGCAGCCCCTCGTCCATCCTACGCGCCGGCGGCGAGAAGTCCGGCAGCCCGCCGCCGCGCGCGACGCCCCGGTCCACCGTGGACCGGTTGACCGCTGCCCCGTCCCGGTCCATGGACCCCGTGGACCCAGTCCATCGGGTTTTCGATTTATTCTAAATCGATAATCCCCTTTATTGCGTCAGCACCACGCAATAAATAATTTCCCATACAAAAATAATTCCCAAAATTCTGAAAATCCCCGGGTCCTGTACATTTCACAGATAAGCCCTCAAGCTTTTCTGTAATTATGTTTAAGCCCTGCCTTATTACAGAAAAGTACCTAAACTTTTCTGTAATTATATTTGAGCCCCTGTCTTCTTACACCAAGGTCCCTAACCTTTTCTTTAATTATAGAAAGGTCCCTAGAACTTTCTGTAATTATCTTTAAGCCCTTAAAACCTTTTAATAATTACAATCAAGCCCCAGAACTTCAAATGCCCATATCTTTTCAACCATAGCTCCGTTTTGGGCGATTCTTGCGCCCACGCGTTCGTAGAAACGCGAAGTACCTCACGGTACTATTATTGGAACCCCACACTATACCTAGACATCATCAATGCCCTAAAACCCTCTCACATATTATATCCTTTTCCTGACAATCATGCGATGTCGATCTTGCACGTCGCAATCATTGTTTACCTAGATCGAACCAATCCTGTGGTGCTAGTTGTCCAGTGCTTTCCACATGACAGCGCACACCTCGCTTCAACCTTGTATCACATATTCACTCCTTTACCTGCTAACAATAAACCTTTTATATTGTATCGCTTCAAACCAAGCAAACTCTCATGCCGTTTCACTTCAAACCTCGTACCCTCCTTATATCACAAATCCAAACTCCAAACCTAGCTTTGATCAATCATCGCTCAATCAAACTTATGTTGCCACCAAACCATCGTCTAGCTCCATTTGATTCATTTATCTGCTTTTATAAAAGTGCTATTTTATTGGCTCTTAGTGGAGTTGTTGTTTCGTTGTTGTCTTAATTGCTAGTTGTCTTTAATTGATCTTAGTGTTTTATCTGCAGTCATGCATCCATGTCATACATGCTCACGTACACGTACCATCGTCGTGCGTCCGACGCGTGACAACCAACTTAATAAATAATAGTTTAGTTTTAGTAATTAATCAATCTAGTAAGTAATTAATAGCTAAGTCATCATTAGTTAACGATATAAGGTATAGGAGCCCTAAGCTGACACACCTTGTACTTCGTACACGTGTTGCATGAACCTTTATATAGGTTACTACCTGTATGAAGGCTAGTGCCACGAATGTACGAAGAACACGTACACACGCTGTCCCCGTCACTTCATGCATTCATGCTCTTCTCTTCGTGTTTAGCATCTCTCATTACACCAAAAGCCATAGAGTACGATGCATCACCCCTAATGGCCTTTTCAAGGTAACAAAACCTTGTTAAAGTAAAACTGGATGCATCATCCGTGTTTTGAGTCTTTTGTTCTTCATTTGCTTTCTATCGGTTTTGTTGGAGTTAATTGGATCTTATCCGGCTCTTTTTGCTCTTTGTTTCCTTTTGCGGTAGTTTATTTATACGTAGTGTTTTATGCGCTAGATTACGCGAGAATTGAGGAAGAGCCAGAAGAATCAAAGTACTCGTCGAGGAATCTCAGGTCAAGACCCGTCGAAAGATACGAGCTT